GAATGGCAGCAACGCTGGGACGAATCATCCAAGGGGCGCCATCTTTACCAATTTTTTCCATCTGTTCGCGAAGGGTTGTCGAGGACATGGCTTGAGGTGGATCACTGTGTCGCTCAATTTCTTACGGGTCATGGTAACTTTAAGAGCAAGTTGTATTCATTTAAATTAGTCGAGTCACCATTGTGTCAATGCTCAACACCTAGCTCTCATTATGAACAGCCTGCTCATCATATCCTCTAGTCTTTGGTATAATGAACGTAATATAATGCTGAATAGCTTGCAGGTGACATCTAGGGCGGTATACTATGGGGATCTTGTGTCAACTAGGAATTTCCGTGCGTTTAGGCGATTCTGCCATACATATTATAGAAATCAAATATAGCTCATGTAGGACTCGTAATATTTTGTGGCCGTGGTGCTTCCCTGTTTAAAAGGGTGTATGCCTATTTTACTTCATTTTGTCTCCCGCTTTGCTAAGGAGGGAAGTGGATTTACTGTATTTCCAACTCCTCCAATTTTCTTCTGATTAATTTCGTTGAGGGTTCCAAGACAGTTTAATTTCTTCCTGGGACTTCCCGAGTGTCATAACTCGGTGTGTTCATGGGTCACTGCTGTGGATCCTGGTGTACAGGAGTTACAGTGGTGGGCGTGTGGGTGGGATTAGTCCCATTTAAAAAAAAAAAAAGATGGCCTCACCTGTCACCTCCAGGCCTGCGATTATGGAGGACGGAGGTCGTTCTGCGACCTCCGGCGCCTGAGTCGCCTGCGGTACCTGGCCCGTTCCCGGGCCTGGCGTGCCGGGAGAGTCCTAAACCTTTCCCGGTCCCGCTCCGCCGTCTCCTTCGCGAGCATAACTTGCTCGCAGAAGGAGACGGCAGAGTTCCACGCACTCTCGCTCCGCACGATAGCCGCAATCAGGCTATCGAGCGAGAGAACTCCCACTCCGATGGCCGCCACGAGGTCTCGCCTCTGCTCAACCCACGCCGGGCACTCTGCCAGCGTGTGGAGAGCCGTGTCCACGGTCTGGCCATCGCAGTGGTGGCACCCAGGCGTTGGTTCCTTGCGGATCAGACACAGGTGATCCCGAAACATCCTTTCCCAGTGATCACCTACGTCAGTCGGTATGAGAGGGTCCCGTGACGCCTCTCGAGCCAATCCTCCATAACGGGTCTTACCGCCGCGATGACGGCGTGCCCGGCGCTCGGTACATAGTGTAGATCCTACAGTTTATTTTGATGTATAATAATCAAACAATTAATTGGAATGGGAGAACACAATGACAGCGTCGATCACGGTCGGTCATAAACGAGATTGCAATATTTACAACTTTTCGTTTGGATAGTATATTATCCGGGACGGATGTCGGTAGATTTTTTTTAGATACACACTATCCACGGACGTCCAAGTGGATAGCCAGTTACTACATATAGATGGAGCGAAGTTTTACTTTAGTCGTGTGGTGAGGTTGTGTGAGAGCAAACATGTTGGACAGAGGCTGAAAAGTTTAGCTCTTCCTATTAATGCAGAGATTCATGCATTTTCAATAAAAATAAAGTACTTCTATTTGTTTTATAACGTCTTTAATAAAGTTATGTATTGTGCAATGAAGTTTAATCGACTGGACATATTTTATAATGGAAGAAGAGCCTTGTTTAGGCACAAATGGTTTGGTTCGATCGGAGTGATACCACAGTCTCACACAACTCGTCAAATGAATAACAGTTAAGATTTGCTTGTTAGTTTCGTATAAACACGTTCGTTCTTGTGTATCTTTTCACGTGCCCCTCAAAGGTCCACAACGGCTTTTTGTATTCGAATTTGCGCGCATATCTCTCAAGTCAGTAAAAATGATCGACATGGGTTTACAAGACCTCTAATGAATTTTTAAATGGGCTTTTTTGTTATTAAGTACTTAATTTACTTTAAAAATATTTGGAATGACACTATTATGAAACGGTGTGTGGAACAAAATCCGTCAGATAACGAAAGAAAGTTGTAGGTCAGATTTAGAATGGGAGAAGCAAACTGCAGCGAAAAATAGTGATTTTTCTCATCCCAAAATGATTTATCCGAACAAAATCCATCAGATAACGAAAACACTAAGCGGTTAATCTAAATCGATGATAGCCTTGGCACGACATCATCATCGCTCTGCTACCGAAAAAAGTTGTAGGTCAGATTCGAAACGGGGAAAAGAATACTGCAGCGAAAAAGCGATTTTTCATATCCTCTGAATGTTACACCCAGAACAAGAATTATTGTGTAAAAATCGCGACCATTATTTCGTGTCACTAATACTGGCTTGGGGTCCGACCTGGGGTCAGTCTCCCCAGCTTGGCCACGCTTATACCTAAAAAAACTAGGGCACCTAGCAAAGATCTGTTTTCTCCCAAATTTAGCCAGAATCAGTCGCCTATTAGAATATGTCGATCACTGGTTCAAAAGTTCTAAGCGTTTCTAGATTTTTTTTTCTTTCCATTTTTCCCTGTATACTATGGGAAAATGTAAAATAATCTATATAGCGAAAGAAAAGCAGCCATTACTCTTAAATGCTGTGACTTGTTGTAAAAAACTGTACTGTTGTTAATTTTATTTATATTGGTATTTTTTATTTTGACGATTGTTGCTGATTCAATAATTGAAATGAAGTTCCTATTTTTTTCATAGATTTTGTTTTACAGCTTTTCAATAATAACAGATTAGAAAAACGTTGATTACAATGTGTATTATCTTTAATAAGTTTGCCTGTTCCTGAAGACCAACAAATTACCAACTTAATAATAACTTTTATCATATTACCTACATTTGTGAATTTATTTGCTCTGGGATATGAGGTAAAGGCATAAATATTGATGAAAACATAATTTTTCATACGATTAATTTAATAACTAAGATTTCACTGAACACTTTAGTTTTTTTTTAGACTAGCCAGGGTGACTGTAGTAGTGAAAACCCTGCACACTTATGTTAATTACAAAACAAAGCTTGATTCATTTGTAAGCATGGTGACTTAGGTACGTTATACACCCATGTATATATTATTATTATACATTTTAACCATTTTTTTAAACATTTTAACCTTACTTTGCTTACTCTCATAGATAACGAAGTAACAATTATTCACCATTATGTTACAAATCAAATACAACTCTCAGACATTTAATAATTAAATTTGCTTTAAAAACAGTATCTTGACGGAATGCTTATTGCTGTGTTCGTTCATTACAGATATAAAATGAATTACTACAAAATGTCAAAACGTATATCATGTCCATACAAAGAAGTTTCGAAAAAATGTTTCGGCGCTTACTTCCTGCGGTAGCGCAAAAAACACTCAGGATTCAAGTTTTTTTTTTGCTAAAGAGTATATAATTATGTATGCCAAAAATATCCGTTGTGTGTAAAAAATGTTTTAATATCATTTCTAAGTATAAAAATCTTTGCCCGCCAGTGATATAATGAGCGCTGTCCGTTAAAAACCATCTACAGACTTTCATTATACTTCTTGAAGACCTGTAGGTGTAAAACTAAACATGTTCTAGACATACGGCGTGAGATGTACTTTAGTTCTTAACAAGTCCTTAAGACCCTAGTAATTGATTTTGTTTTTATTCAAATTATATAGATTTTTTAAGGACGATAAGAATACAGAGATATATTACGCGCCATATAACTCTGCGTTAACGAAATTCGTGAAAATTCCTAAAATGATATTTTAGGTATCAGAGGGGTAATTTCTGCGCATCAGAAAGAGACGAGGGGCACTTGGCCGACAACGCGTTGGACCACTGCAAAGTCAGTAGTGCATATCGCTCTAACACATTAAGTGGATTATCTGTTTTGCTCTACCGTACTGTTGTCAACATAATTGTTTACAAAATCTGTTAATATTGTTATTTGTTTTATTTATGTTTATTATCTTTTATGTTTATTATCTGTTTTGTTTATGTTTGTAAGTTGACTTTTGCTTTTAAAACTCCGATTTACTGACAATTACTTTCGATTATTACAGATATTGTTTTAGTAATTTACCATTTTAATAGACTAAATTTTGAACATAATTCTAGAAGTGCCTATTCATTGATAACGGATTTCCTAGTAGTCCGGCGTTGTTAGCAAAAGCGTGATATGTATTTTACTTTTTTGTCCACTTTATTATTTAAAATATTAACGTAATCCTTCGGAAATATACACACATTATATCATCATCATCATCAACAGCCTTTAACAGTCCACTGCTGGACATAGGCCTCTCCTTAAAAAGGAGGTTTACACATTATATAATTAGTTACAATTCTGAATTAAATAAATGAATTGTATTATTACTACGCAAAAACATATAAAATGTTTCTAGGCTCAGTACGTTTGTTTGCGAGTATACCTGCGCAATATTTGGTTTGCAGCCAACTTCATTGACGCAGAGTTATGTGGTGCGTGCTATACACAAGGAACAGATTTATAGTTTAAATCTAGGTAGCAGTACATACAACAATAACTGTGAATTTAGTTACAATAAAAATACTTGACCACCGAAATAACTGATCTTGATGGCGACCTGCATACGTATCACTCAGTTCAGAAAAGGAATGATAAGACAAGATATTGTCACTGACACATCTGCCTTTTTTTAGATTTCTCACATGCTTAACACTGTGAAAATGTAAAATTCATTGATTCACTCTTCACTTGATTGTTCAACGGTTAAGTTATTGCCGTAACATTACAGGAACAGATTATTATGATGGATCACATGGATGGCAAAGCATATTATATGAACAGGTCATCAACTTAGAATAGAACCGATAATTGGACACCACTTTTACACTGTAATAGTGCATGTTACACTATACATAGTTATATTTATATCACAGTTTTCTATTATTACTTTTATCCTCTGCACAATAATCAGGTACAAACATAACACTTTACTTTAATAACTTCAATTAATCAGACATTAAGATGGCAGTGTGTTAAAGTCCACAACATGCAAACTGCTCACATCAGGGTGAATTGCCATTTTCTATATTATCTTGGAAATTGTTTACATTGCTAGTAAACGGTGCTCCGAGCCCATATAAATGTCCACTAGTACTTTCAATGTTGCCATCAAAAAAAATCTGGGAAAAAACAGGTTTACACTATTAGATTATTATTTAATATTTAAAAAAAAAAAATATACATGCATTTTTGTTGAATAACAAATCTTTATAACCATGAAGACTGATGAAGACCTTTTTCATTCATTTTTATTATTATGCTGTAAGATATTGTAAAAGTATCATATACTGCAATTGCCATATACTTACATACATTTATATACATCTTTATGGAAACTCTAACATTAAGAAACACTACCAAGTGTCGACATACCTCCTTGATTTTAAAAAAGGCCATTCCTGTTAGGTGGGAATCAGAGCCAGCTTGATGTTGTGGTCCTACTCGTCGCAATTCCAATTGATCTGCAACTTCTTGTAGTCCACCTTTTAAGTTTTTGCATAGTTTCATTAAATACTGGAAAACATGATAATGGTTATTCTAGGAGCTTTGAAGGAAATTTATAATATAAGATTTAAACTTACTTTAACATCATAAACAGTGGGAAAATACAACCGAAGACTGTCAAAAAAATCATTCTCCTCTTGAGGCAGATTTTGGTCAGTTAAGATTTTCAACAAGTAACCAAAATCATATCCAGAATGGAAACTCAACCAGTTGATGTTGTCCATGAGTACTATTCCTGTTGAAAATGATATAATTATGAATTGTTCAACATATTTGAAATATTAACGTGTGGCAATAAGATATGAACCTGACGACATTAGAAGCTCTGCAAATTCTAAAGGTTCAATGCCATGTTCCTCATGATCCCTGAATTGAAGTCCAGAATTTTGTAGCAAATCAATTGAATCCTGAGCATACATATCTTCTCTGGAAACAAGTCTTAAAAGTGACATTATTCTTATATGATGGCTAAATTACTGATAACTCACATAGTCAAATACTTACTGTAAGTTGAACTTAAAATTGAATTGCCAGGTAGTACAGCCTGGTGGTGTTTTTCCATTTTCATCCATAAATGTAAGACCTAGTTGTATAATTCTCAAAAGGTCCACATTGCATCTGGGGACAAAAAAGACTGTCATCAAAAACCATTTTTTTTGTATTTGGAGTAAAAAGATAAATAGCACTCTAAAAGCATTTCATCATAACAAATATAACATGAAACACTAGAGGTTCTTTGTAAAGCTTTTTAAATTTAAATTTTATAAGACCTATTTTTAACATCAAAGAAAAAGAATGGTTTATGGTATTATTTTTTCTTTATTTGTAAGAGAACCTCATGGTTCATCATCTCAGCTCATTGTGAAGTGGTATGTTGGAAGCAAACCAACTAGAACCACATGGTATTTCGTCACATGTGTGTATATTGCAAGGGACTTGGGTATACACAAAGATGGCTAGCAAACCTTCAACACCATAGGCAGTCACACCTGCATGCAGAACTACATTTAGGTTCCTCGAAAGTTTCTTGTGTCTATCAAATGCAATTTAAGACTTACAGCAATTGTTAAAGGTGAGCACGACATGATGTCCAACAAATTAAGTTATTTGTGTGATACTGTTAAATTTTTACTACAAATTTATTTTTGTAAATTCCAAATCTATACAAATAAATAAAATTGGGAGTGTCTGTTTGTAATATTAAAATAACCGCTTTTTACTAAATGCATATGTATGTTTACACGGTACATATGCCAAAATAACATTTTTTTTTCAATTTTTGTCTGTCTGTCTGTCTGTTTGTTCCGGGTCATCTCTGGAATGGCTGGACCGATTTCGACGGGACTTTCACTGGCAGATAGCTGATGACATAAGGAGTAACTTAGGCTACTTTTTTTAGACTAGCTTGGCCCCGCGGCGTTGCCCGCGGTTATAACAACAAACGCGGGTAACACCGCGGGTCTCAGCTAGTTCGAAATATAAACTGTAAAACAAATTCGGTAACATACACATTACAATAAATAAGATAGAGTTCACTGACAAATGGACACAATGAAGGCTTAGTCTATACAAATAAATAAAATTGGAGTGTCTGTTTGTAATATTAAAATAACCGCTTTTTACTAAATTCATATGTATGTTTACACGGTACATATGCCAAAATAACATTTTTTACAATTTTTGTCTGTCTGTCTGTTTGTGCCGGGTAATCTCTGGAACGGCTGGACCGATTTCGACGGGACTTTCACTGGCAAATAGCTGATGACATAAGGAGTAACGTAGGCTACTTTTTTTAGACTAGCTTCGCCCCGCGGCGTTGCCCGCAGTTATAACAACAAACGTGGGTAACACCGCGGGTCTCAGCTAGTTATTACTAAGCCTCCTGATTCACACACATTGCACGTTCATTAGGTAATCAAAGTCAAAAGTATGTAGTTATCAAAATTACTTTGACACTAGTTTTTGACAAATTGTATTGTTGGAAAAAAAAACTTTCATTTAGGTAAAAAGTTTTACCAACATGTGCATTTTGGAAACACTTCAGCAATGAGGATGAAGATTGAGTGCAGAAGGTTGCACAAAGTTCCAAACAAGATAAGAATTAGGTTTGTTTAGAGTTATAACCGCGGTTTGTTGTTATAACCGCGGGCAACGCCGCGGGGCGAAGCTAGTCTAAAAAAAGTAGCCGAAGTTACTCCTTATGTCATCAGCTATCTGCCAGTGAAAGTCCCGTCGAAATCGGTCCAGCCGTTCCAGAGATTACCCGGAACAAACAGACAGACAGACAAACAAAAATTGAAAAAATGTTATTTTGGCATATGTACCGTGTAAACATACATATGCATTTAGTAAAAAGCGGTTATTTTAATATTACAACCAGACACTCCAATTTTATTTATTTGTATACATTATACATATATGGTTTAACCAGTTTTGTTTCATCAAAAAAAAATTAGTAATGATCACTTCCCATGTTTGGCAAGTGAATGTTTAAACAATGACTAGCTTACCAACTAGTTCTTTTACCAATTTTAATGTGGTCAAATATTGCAGTTTGTATTTACGCAAAATAAAAATTAGCCAAATATTTAGTTATATAGAATATTTAGTTAAAGACGTTTTTTGATGAATTATAATTTTCCCACTTGGGACATATCCTAAAAAGGTAGTAACAATATTAACTATTCTGGTAATAAATATAACAACAACAATTTTTAAAGCTAATAAAATGTGCAAGAAAGTGAAAAATAAGGGAGGAAATTCTAGTATCTAGTACAAAAATAAAAATAAATTAAAACTTAAATAAAATTAAGTATATATAAATAATAAATAATAGTTCTGGTAATAGTTTCTGGTTTTATATTCAAAAATATGTTTCTCTGCACTGATCAAATACATTAGTACCAGTACGCTTAAGTATAATACTAGCGTACTACTACACTCAACGTCCGTACTGTACGCTTGGGTCGCAAAATCGCAAATCGGTATATTTTCGTGGTATTAAGATGAAAAGAATGAAATTTTATCGTGTTAAAATAACTCGGATAGACGTTTAGTTGCTATGGATGGCATCGCATTTTATTTGTAAGTAATTTTATACTTAATTTATTAAAATAGTTCTGGTAATATCTCTTAGTATTTTTTTTAACATTAGCTGACTAAACTTTGTGTAATTTAAAGTAAAAATACAAAGGTACGTAAAGCTTAGTTTTAGTAGTAGTCAGATCATACTGTAATTTGTTCTGCATTCAGTCCTAAACAATTTTTTTATCGCCAAAACAATATTAATATTTTTAGTAATCATTTTGTGAACAGACTGTCATCTATCAACTAGAAAAACATACATAAACAAAACAAAAAGACAGGATCGAAATTGGAATCCAATAAAGTACTTCTGGTACGGCTGGTATAGCCGCCGACGTCTTCTTTTTTTTTTTTGTTGACGGGGTGGAAAATCCCTTCGGATCTCCTGCTCCTCGAGGACTCAGGAGCCAGGAGTATGTGGTGATTCCACTAAAAACCACCCCGACGGCCGGCCTTAGGTGTCCTACTCTGGGGAGGACCCGGACCATGTTATTTCAGGTCCTCCCCGAATTGACTCCATGCCTAATCAGGCCCTATCCCAGGGGAGCCGACGTCCTCTACACTATTTTAAGCTATGTTTACTTTTTGTTTATTAATTTCTTTTCATCAATAATTTTTTCTAAGATTTCAAACGCGTATTCAGACACCTAATTTGAAATAAAATATTTTATTTCATTTGTAAATAAAGTTCCATTCATTATTATAATTTGTTTATTATTTGTTTTCTGTCAAAATATTAAGTATCCTTAACTATGGGCAATAATCATAACACTCTTTCTCCGTAGTGGGGTGATGGTAGGACTAAAATATAAGCTGTCCACATAAATATAGGTAAAACAAGAATAAATAAGAGAACAAATTTTAATCGTTATTCGTAATTTGCCACATAAGTTTTTATTCTCACACTAGCAATACCCAGCGAATATGAGTCTAGGCCGTTTCAGCCGTTTCAGCGTGAAAAATAACACATACAGAGTACATAGCGTGGGATAAGTCAACGAGAACGAAAGAACACATAAACTTTCGATATTATAATATCCAGGAGGTTAGATTTTTGCAATAGATGTCAGTATCAAGATGATTCAGAAAATGAATCTTAAAAAAAAACCTATTGGTACGAAAATTCTAAGTACGTCCCGTATATTACTTAAGTAACCGGTCAAAAGGACTGGTTACTTAAGTTACGAGTAAATGTATTTTTAATCAATAAAGAGTTATTTTATATTCTCTTCTAGTGGTAGGCTCACATAGGTTGCATTACTATTCAACTAAAATATACACTACACAACACTACATACTTAGATCTGAGTACAAATATATACAAATAGATCTGAGTACAAATATAATAGGTCTTTACCTATGAAATTGCCGTTTCGTATGCAATAAGTGAAAGTACTTATTTTTTCAAACTTTTTTATTTCTGTTATTCGAAGTAATCACCCGTGCAATCGACGCATCTTTGCCAACGCATTGGCAGTTTATTGATGCCCTTCTTGTAAAAATCAGCTGGACGGGAGGCAAGAAACTCTTCAAAGGCATTTTGTACTGCATCTCGGGAATTGAATTTTTTACCCACTAAAAAGTTGTCAAAATTTTGGAAAAAGTAATAGTCGGTAGGTGCAAGGTCTGGTGAGTATGGCGGATGAGGGAGAGCTTCCAACCCTAGCTCTTGCAGCTTGGAGACTGTCTGTTGCGCAGTATGGGGTCGCGCGTTGTCGTGAAGGAGCAGTGGGGACGACCGATTGACCAAAGCTGGTTGCTTGGTACTCACTTTTAATAATTGTACGCTTTGTCACATGAACTAAAAGATGACAGCATCAAAAATGAAATCCACTAATACTAGACATCAATTGGCACCAATAGGAGACAATAACTATACTATCAATTAAAAAATACTATCAAATCAACTTAAAACGAAACCTGTTATAAATAAATATATTTATAAAAAATATATATTTATTATATTTAACATTCTTGTTAATCGTTTTTTTTGCATGGTAATTACTGACTATTCTAGACTTAACAAAATTATCACATCAACTTATCCATGAACATTCTACTCTGTCAAGAAAGTACCGGGAAAAGATCAATAATACACAAAATCTTTGTTATTCATCCAAATTTATTTTATCACCTTCAAAGTATGCTCCTTCAGAAACGATACACTTACGCCAACGAATAATCCAATCATAACAACATTTTTTAAACGCTGTTTCCGGAATTGAGTTCAGTTCTCACCGCGAATTCTCTTTTATGTCTTATACCGATTGAAAACGGGTGCCACGAAGTGGTAATTTGAGTTTAGGATAAAGAAAGAAGCCGGCTGGAGCCATATCTGGTGAATATGGTGGTTGCTTCGATGGTATTTGTTGTGTTTGGTCAAAAATTCGTTAACAATGATAGCCTTGTGCGAAGGCGCATTATCGTGGTGCAAAATACAAGAATTTTCCCTCCACAAATCTGGCCCTTTTCGTCGAATTTGCTCTCTTAAGGGGGTTATCCCATGGGATGGGCTCGAAAAGTCGATTTTTTTTTTTTTTTCATAAATTGCTTTCTTAACATGTCTAGAATACGGTAGTAAAGTGATACTCTATGGACCAGGCATCGCCGATTGAGGGTAAGTTGAGATTTTCATAGTTTTAAGCGGACTTGAAACTTTGAACGCGTTTTTCTCAAAAATGTGTTTTTCAAACTTTCCTCCATCGTATCTCAAAAACGGCTTGACCGAATGACTTGGAATTCGCAGGGTACACTCAGCACATGTGAACGCATGGAATAAACTATTATCAATCAAAAAATCCCAAAATTCAGATTTTTTTATAACAAAAACAAAAGAACGCAAAATTCGTAACTTTTTTTCAAATGTCTACCAAAAGTCCAATTTTTGGTATATTCATTTGATAATAGTCCATTCCGTGCATTTAAGCTTACAGATTAAAACGCCGCCTTTTTTTTTTTTGGTTCTGATAAGCCAATCAGCCGGAATCGTGGAGGAAGTGCGAGTCCATTTTTTCGAGGCGGGGGTGTTCAGAACGCTGTAACTCATGTTCTACACAATATTTTTAGTTTAAAATTTATAGTTATACTGTCGAAATATGTATTAATAAATGATAATAAACTTAAAGCTCTATCTATTTACTGGTCGTAGAAAAAAAATCAAAAAAATCCCTAAAAAACAGGCCGTCACATGGGATGACCCCCTTAAATGCCGCATAATGCTCAAATAATATTCTTTATTTACCGTTTGACTGTCCGGCAAAAATTCCGAGTGTACAACACCGCGATAGTCAAAGAAAACAGTCAACATGACTTTTAAGCGAAGCTTGATGACTAGATTGCATGTCAATCTCGTAAACTCACATCTCGTAACAATGCGTTTCATGAATGTTGGGTCGGAATTGACTCGTTCTAGCATGTCCTCAGCAACTCTCATACAATTGAGTTTTTGGAGAAAATTCAGGTCTTTTGGGACTAGCCGAGCGGTAACATGTTTCATGCCCAAATGATTAGTTAAAATAGTGCGGATCGATTCTTGAGATACAGAATGTTCGGCGGCTATCTCTCTCAAAGTTAAATGAGGATTTTCAGTCACAATTTTTTGTTTAATCACAGAGCATACCATTGTCATGATTTCAATATCTTTTTGTGAAAAATGTGGGACAATGCAAACAAACTTGTAATATTTTTTCTTACCAGGAAAGTTAGTAATTACAGTCAAATTGCCTGATTTAATTTTCAGGGTAATTTTCTTCATATTCGTTTTCTTCTTAGTCACTCTCACGCTCGTCACATAGATCATCTAAGGCCTAAGCAACCTCCAGATTCTATCCATTCTTCTTCAGTACTTGTGTCACTTTCGTTATCAGTCTTATTAGTATTCCTTTTTACAGCCTGTTGGCTTTTCTTTCTAAGTTCTGAGCAGTCTTAAGTTTTCGTGCGTCTTAATTCTTCTGTATTTTCTTCATTCTTTCTTCTAATCTCCTTTTTCCTCTTCCTGTATTTCATTCTTTTTCTTCTCCTTGCTTTCATAATATTGTTACTATTGCGCTGACGACACTACAGAAGGTATTTTCTCTTTCTTTCTTTTTTAGAATTTTCTTTAGGTGTTGGCCAAAACAAAGCTCCATTAGAAGGACTTGGTATAATCACACTCATATCGTGTGAGAAACTTTCTGGAAGTTTCGACGTGGATGGCATTATCAAGGGATTTGTACTCATGGTCCTACTGACAATATTATTTTTGGTAAGTTTGATACGTGTTTTAAGGTTTTCTGCCAGACTATCAACGGTAGCATTAATATTGCCTTCATTTATAACTGGAGTTATTATTTCTACTATTATTATAAGGTAGTTCAACTGGTACGTTTAGGTTTTCGTTTAGGGTGTTTGATGTTGCTTTAATATTGTCATCATTTATAAGTGGAGGTGATATTTCACACACACTGTTGGGTTCTAGAACTAAAGTCAGGCTTGTCAAGTTATTCAAGGATTTTTCAACATTTTTATAAAACTTAAATAACTGCATGTCTTCGTTGGGTCCATTTCATAGCTTATGTAGGATAGGCTAATATTTAATACAAATAAAACTTAGACATAATCTTTATATACAGAACACAGAGACAATTTTTGCATAAACATGAACTAAGGAATTAAATTTTGTGTAACCCCAATAGAAGACAGACATGTCATCTTTTGGGGTTACTTAGCTTTGGTTTTGATACATTTTTGGTACTAATGGTAGACACCATTTGAAATTGTTACAAAATCTTGTCTAAATAAGAAGATAATGGTCCTAGTAAGTCATATATTTTTAAGATCAAAACAAACAGAGGTGATATTAATTGATATTAAGAACAAAATCATACCTGCTGAAGGTCAGTCTCCTTAAGACAAAACATAACAATCACCACACACATGTCAATCTGCTCACATTTTTTACTTCCAACTGACTCTTCAATATTAAATATCAACACATCTACAAATATCTTCTAAATACACTCTCTTACCTTAGCAGTTGATACTGATAAGCAGCTGTGGACCTAAATTCACCTATAGGTCTTGCTACTACTCCTGGAAACTCTGTATCCATTGCCACCCAGTGGTACTTTTGTACAATCTGAAGTAGAAGATTGGTCATGTCTTAAATGTTGTTTTTTTTTAATATTAACTAATATGTTTCATCAGCTATTCTAGTAATTAGATTAGAAATTAAAACTTTTCGTAATGTTAAAAGAACAATATAGTGATTACATCAATAGTCAATACCATCCATTACATATTGACTATCTACTTGATTATACTCGTACTTATGGTACAGTAAAATTAGATTCTTTTTTAATAATGCGGATACTTTTAAACTTGAACTTGCAACAATGACAACCCCGTGCGTAAATTGCATTTACCGGAGAAAGGAGTATAAAAATTATAGTCAGATCACTCAAAAGAGTAGTCTCATAAAAAAGGGAAAATTATATATTTTCATATAATATAAAACATATAATCGCAACTGTAAAATAAAATGAATGCGAGTAAACCTGTCTAATAACATGAAATTCTTCGTGAAGATTATGATTCCAAACATTTTTTATAGCACAATCCTCTTTTATAACATTTGATAAAATTGATTCTAAACTAGCTGCAGGCATCTGTGAAACTATAATCTATTCTAATATTTAGAAAATATTGAGTAAATAAAATTTACTTATGCACGATGAACTAAGACAGTTTGGGGCAATGGCAATTTGACATACGATGACATTCTAAACAAATTCCAACCAGAAACAATGTCAAGACAGATTATCAGAATAAAGTCAGGATGTTAGTAATTACTTTTACTCTTTGGTTTTAGTGCATTATAACTTCATGTACAGAAAAATAATACCTATTTAGGTATTGTATATTTTCTAATTTAAAACATACAAACATCACTCTTTTATCAATATAATCCTTGACGTTAGATGCTAGCAATAATACGGCATCTTAAAGTTGAGAATGCTTGCTGACCTACTTATGGTTGTGTGATCGCGCAAGCAAACGTATTACGGGTTAAATCCATAATACCTTTTGTGTAATCCCTAATATAGTCAAACTACCGTAAGCTTGGCTCTCCCGATGGTTTGCGGGACGCGGATGGGGGTACGCTCAAACAATTAGCTAATAGCTACTGAATTAGCTAGTGTGTCGCTGTATATGTTATTATTCTTAAGACTGCTACACACGGTTTTATTTTGCAACATGGATAATCTGCCGACTCTGCGTCAAAAAAGATTCGGACTAATTTCCATTTTATTAATAAACGTTTCCTTTCGTTTTAAGTTACATGATTAATATACAGTAGAAGTTGTAGATCGCGTGGTGGCGAATTAAGAATACGGAGTATCATCACGCTTTTTTTTTTTCCGTGCGGAAATCCCCTCGGATACCACCTATCGGTGGCATGTCGGACTCGAACCGACTAAAACCGCACCCCGTCTCGGGTACTAATAGAGTATCATCACCCCTATTCATCCCGTAGGTGTCGTGGCAATTTTTCGAATTTGCAGTTTGCATTTTCAATAATTCGCTGCGAGCTTTTGTCACTTTACAATCGTCAGACCTTTCAATGGGAGCATTTTCGGCGTCCAAATAACATATCTCCAAAATATCTGATGCACCCAAATATTTTTTCTTCGATTTCCTCCTCTTACATTTTTGATAACCTGTAGAAGCTTTTCCAACCTCTGAAAGTGGAAACTTTTTATGACTTTTACTTAATCTTTGAAATGCATGATGCTCGCTGGTAAATCCCCATTTAGCATCACGGGCTCCCCTACTATGTATAAGTGTTGTGGGTAAATGTTCTGAATACTATCAAAATTCATTATCGTTTACGAAACAACAAGAAACTCCATTTTTACATTATATCTAAAGTGTACAGTGAAGTTGTTCAAATGGGATCCAAAGTTCCAGTATTTTGTAATTTAGTATTTGTACCATGGACTATTCAACAAAAGAAAGAGGTAGTTGTGAGAGGCCTCAAAGAGAAATACCTAAAATAGAGTTTGTAATGAAAGCAATCTTCAAAAATTTAAGATTAATATATTTAAAATTACAAAAATTATTTCACGAAATCTTAAGATGTAAGAATAAGTTGTAAATCATACCAATAAAATCTTAAGAGGAAATAATAGTCTTAAATCTAAAATATTATATAAAATGTGCTAATATGAAAAAATTATAATCAATATTTATAAAAAAAAACCACTATTCGAAATCCCATGACAAACCCTAATATCAAAATCTTGGAACCAAAAGTCCATCACAACCCACTAAGAACTTAATCATTGTGTTTACGTTCTAAGGTATGAAGTGTACCTGTAGGGAATGCTTTATTTTATAATAAATAATGTGATTCATTTGAAGGGACACCTCAACCTGTATTACCAATGTTACATTTCTTACTTGAAGTGGTATTTAGGATTTCAAATAGTATTCAAATAGTAACCTTTTTTCACAGTGTGTATTGCAAGATCAACATAAAATGTAAAATTACAAAATAATATGGATGTACAGCAATTTATCTATTTTGATTTAATTAATGATTGTTTATAATTTCATAATTTTCAAGGGGACCTCAAATGACCATCATTCGAATGTATTCACAGATAACACAGTTTATTCACAGTTGGAGCAGCAGCTTTTACTCTGGCAATGTCAGTTTGTCACACTTGACTTGTAAATATGTACACATCACAAGGTGGTATCGAATGTTCACTCTGTAATATGGAACACTCGCGGCGGCGGTGTCATACACGGGCTATCTCCTGATCAGGATGAGTTGCCATTTTCACCATTATCTTGGAAGTTGTTGACATTCACTGAAAATGGTGCTCCCAGTCCATACAAATGACCACTAGAACTTTCGATGTTGTCGTCAAAGAAAATCTGAAAATTAAGTTTTTTAGATTAGAGTCAGTTACTTGAAGCTCAGCATGAATTTGCAACTGTACAAATGTATTGTTGTTGGTTGTGGGCTCTGGTTTCCGCATTTAGACTCGAGATAGTCCTTTATGCGTCATGGCTAGGTAATGGCTAGGTAAGCCAACCAAGCTCCTTCCAGAAGCGCAGAAGCCTCCTGGGGGCCTGGGGCGTTCACAGGCTCCCGGCCTTTGAGCCCGAAATGAGGCCCGTCGTGTGGCCACTCTTCTGCTGTCAGACATCCTCTGCAAAGAGGACTGTCCGTCGCATTAATGGTAAATAGTAGTCGGTTCAGGGCTAGGTCTTCTGTTATAGTTTCTACAACTATCCGGATTTCTAGTTTGCTAAGACTAATTAACCTGCAGGCGAGTAGTGGTGTGACTTCAGTCAGCAGTAGTTTGGACTGTGTGCAGTCGGGTGAGTTTTGCCACCTCGGTGGTGTGTCCGTTGCCTGGCCCAGAATCAAGGTTGGATGAAAGGTTGCAGCAATATGGTTGGGCTGGTAGCCAGGGTTGCCGAGCCCCTCCTTGCCAACTTATCGGCGGCATGTGAATTACTGTGACCTCTAATCTATTGCTTGATTGCATTCGAAGAAAATACCAGAGGTCATTGTGCTGCCCTCTAGTGAAATTAGGACTGCCATGCTGCTTGACAATATTCGGATGTTATGGTCCTTAAGGCCTCTTGACATGGCCGTTGTGGCGGCGTAAGTTATTGCCACACATTCGCATTGGAATATGAAACTGTGTTAGCCTAACGCTAGTGATATATTCATATTTTGGGATTGCGAGAAAAGTTCAGTCCTTGACCTAGTCTTGGAACCGTCTGTTTAAATTCGGACTTCGTTAATGCCGGATTGATCTCAGTCATTTTCTTGTATCTGAATCTGGTATCTTTTTGTGAAGATAATGTGTTTTGGGATCCTACCGCATGGGCCTGCTATTAGTGGTTCGTATTCCACTAATTGATCCTATAGTTTGGAGTGCGACCCTCACCTTTATGCCACAGACCCAGGTGTATAAGAGCCTGTCTAAGACTGTATGAACAAATCCAGTGGGGGCAGACCAAGAGCCACCTCCAGTGAGGCAGTTGGCGTTGTGCGCATACAGCCGCAGAGCATGGGAGTCGCTGGAATTGCTGCAATTTATTTATGACGGGGCTTAGCCCTGTTCTCTGTCACCAGACAATAGCACCGTAAGTGATTATTGGTCTTATGACTGTTCTGTAGAGCCATAGTATAATCGTTGGTGATATTCAACAGCTTTTTCTGAGTAGCCGTTTGCATTGGCAGAAGACAATGCAGGCCTTGTTTAGTTTTTCATTGAGGTGCTTAATCCACAGGAGTTTACTGTTCAGTATTACTCCTAGGTATTTGACCTCTTTGGTAAGAGCTAGTTGTGTTCCAAATAGCTTGGGAAGTCTGAGATTTCCTAGACTACGTTTGTTTATGAACATAATCATCTCTGTTTTCGATGGGTGCACTGTCAAGTTGAGTGTTACACACCACTGTTCAAAGATCGTCAGTGCAAGTCTCATTTGATAGCATATAACGCTCTCAAAGGGGATGACCACTGATGAGGATAGTCCGATCGTCTGCATAGCCTATTGTGAGAAATCTACGGTCATTGCGTTGTGTGATTACAGCGAGTACACCGCCCTGGGCAGACAGAGCTGGGCTAATGTTGGTGAAATTGGTCTTTTCAGAGGCACGCTGGCCAATGTGCAAATATATGTTGCTATATAACTGCTGCAGTAACTATAATTTCACGAAGAAGTGTTCTAAGGAACCCGTATGAGATCAATGGTATTCACGGGTTGACTTGTCAGTTGGGTGCTTGCATAGGTATTATCGATTAAACAACATATTATGTAACTACCTCTTTTATTTTGAAGAATGCCATTCCTGTTAGATGTGAGTCAGAACCAGCTTGATGTTGTGGACCTACTCGTCTTAATTCTAGCTGGTCAGCTACTTCTTGAAGTCCTCCTTTTAAGTTTTTGCACAGTTTCATTAGATACTGAAACAACATGAGTGTTTTTTAATATAAAATAAATCAAAATTTGTACTGACTATAAATAGAAAAAAAATTACCTTTACATCATATACAGTAGGAAAATATAACCTTAAGCTTTCAAAGAAATCATTCTCATCTTGAGGTAGATTCTGGTCTGTTAGTAGTTTTAGTAGATAGCCAAAATCATAGCCAGAGTGAAAACTGAGCCATTTTATATTATCCATTAGTACAAGACCTGAAACAAACAACCTGGATATTAATTTTAATGTAAGTACAGTATAGTTTATGTATTTTTATTTGACTCCCACATGACCATTCTTTTTTTTACGTGTGGAAACCCCCTTGGGCCGTCACTCCACCGGGGTTTGCGGAGGGGTGGTGTGTCGAAATCGGACCGACTAGAACCAGACGGTGTGCCACTCTGTGCACACTCAGGGTGGCATGAGGCTCTGGCTCTGGCCTCCGCCGCCCGGTTCGTCGGCGGCGAATCGGGTACGAGTGGAGCTCATCCTCTCGGGCCTTCTCCGCCGCCTCCTTCTGCGAGATGACGTCTTTGCAGTAGGATGCGACCGCGGTAAAACAACTACGCTTCTCGCTACGTATGACGCCCCGGTAGCGAGAGATCTCCTCCGACGACTGCAGAGAGGACCCGACGCTGAGACGCCCAAGCCGGGCAGATTGCCAGCGTGTGCTGAGCCGAGTCCTCACTGCAATTGCAGTAACAGCCGGGACTCAATTCCCTCCTAGCGACCGACTGCAGGTTTCTCCCGAAGCAGCCGTGCCCAGAAAGAACCTGCGTCAGTCGGAAGGAAAGGTGCTGGTGCTGGAAAGGTGCTGAAGCCTTCCTTTGATAACCGGCTGGAGTGCTTCCTCGGTGGCAAAGCACGTGGAGCATTCAGCCGGGACGACTAACGAACAATTGTGGCTCGGCGAGCGGCTTCACGCCACTCGCGTACCTCTTCGGGCGGGGGCCGACTGCCACTATCCACCCGGAACTCAGCTGTCTGCCGCTATACTTCGGCGAGCACTTCCGCCAAATCAAACGGGGGAGTACCGGCCAATGCGCACGCCGTCTCCGTCGAAACGGTGCGGTAACCGCGTATGGCTCTAACCACCAATATCCTCTGAGGGCTCCAGAGGCGTGCCCTATTCTGGGCGGTCAGAGCCACCGCTCACACCGGTGCACCGTACACAGTGCGATTGACCGGACAACCCCCGTGTAAAGCCGTCTCTTTGCGAGGCTGGGTCCACCCAAATTGGATAAAAGTCGCCCAAGGGTAGACGCAGCGCCGACCAGCTTTGGAGCAAGCTGTCGAAAGTGCTCGTTAAAGCTACGATTGAGTCGCCGGGGAGTGGACCACGACGGCTTTAACCAATGTGGGGAAAAATCTACTAGAAGGGGTCAAAGAACAGACCCCTGTGGAACACCGCACGACATGTGCCGACACTTCAGATTACCATCTCGGTCCTCGTACACGACGGTACGCAGTTCTAAATAGTCTGCCACTAGCCGCCTCAGGTACTTTGGCACCCCATGATAGTGGAGTGCTTCCCTGATGCAGCTGAATGGCAGACTATTGAATGCGTTGGCGCTGTCCAATGACACCGTCAACATCACGCAACCACAGCTCACCTTAGGCCCTTCGGTCACGGCCCTCAGGCGCAGCACAGCGCCGCCCGTCGATCGTCCCGTTCGAAAACTGAATTGGGCGTCCGACAGATCGGAGACTACCTCGTAGAGAAGGCGGACGATGCGGCTAGAGAGTGCCCTCTAGAACAATTTACCCGCCTCGTCCAGCAACACGATGGGCCCGTAGGCCGCAACCGAATCGGCAGGCCGTCCTGGCTTCCTTAACAAGACCACCTTCTCGCTTTTCCAGCACTAAGGGAAACGTTCGGACGCCAAGCTCGTGTCAAACACCTCCCCGAGGCGGTCTGACATGTGGTCGCGAGCGACGGGCAACATCATCCTCGTCCTCCCCGTCGTGTCCGACCAAGGAGGCCATCGACACTCCTATGTGACTATGTGTGAACCTTGAGGTTCAATTAGTCTTAACAAGTTTTATTGAATCATTAAATATGTATATCACAAAGCTCTGAGTTTTACAACCACTGAACTACTGCCATTAACAAAACAATGTGTGAAGTTAGATTTTTCTAAGTTATCAGAATGCGTTACGTTTTTGTAAACTGTCTATTTTTTGTTTAAGAACTTTGATCAATTAATACAAACAGATAAGGTCACTTCTCAAGTTTTCACCCAACCTACCCACACATTACATTTCGCAGGAGGAGCCCTTCAACTTCTTTGGTTTTCTTTATATCGATCAATTTTACTTTCTTCATTGCCACAATGCGAAACGAATTTTGCTATGTGGCTTATCTGCGATTGTCACCACAGGTCGTGAGTGTACTCAAAAGAACCATAACACAAATTTCGAAACGCGTTGTGCACTGTTTTTGGTTTTTGGGCATAACATTTACACAAAATATAAATATTTAAATTACTAGCTGACCCTAAGTGGTCTTTTAACAACTCTTTAAGAGGAGCAATTCCATCATACATGACTGTTGCGTAACTTCAACAGAGCAAAGAAAAGAGAACAGAGAAAAGCTTGCAAAAGTAACAAGTATTTTTTTTGTTTTTACCACATTTTCTTTCGTTGATGCTCTGCTCCTTTACTTGTACTGTGATGTATATTCATATCTTCTTTTACTTCACTTATTATCATTTAATTCATACTAAAAGCCTATTAAAAATTACCTGATGACATGAGTAGTTCAGCAAACTCCAAAGGTTCGATACCATCCTCTTCATGTTTCCTGAATTGTAATCCCGAGTTTTGCAACAAATCAATTGAATCTTGCGCATACATGTCTTCTCTAATAAATAAAAAAGCAATATTTAGTATTAATGTTTATAGCACTTAGATAGTGATAGATAAACACAAAACCATTTACTTAATAATGTTCAGAGATTAAAAAAAGGTCTATGTAATTTTAGTCGATTTTATTATCTGAATATCTGATGTGAACACACAATGAAATTTATTAATTGTAATAAAAATTCTAACATCTTTTCATATATATATATTTTTTATATAATTTAAAGTCTTAGTAGGATATAAAATATACTTACTGCAAATTAAATTTAAAATTGAATTGCCATGTGGTGTATCCAGGTGGAGTTTTTCCGTTTTCATCCATGAATGTGAGACCCAACTGAATTATTCTTAGAAGATCAACATTACATCTAAAACACAATTTTTATGTACAAAAAAGGAACATAATTATTTAAAACACAATATATCTCATGGAAATGGTTTGTAGTGATAATGATGAATTAGGAAAATGACATTACACGGAAATAAAGTTGGCTATTAACAATATAAAATATTTATTTCTTTAAGATTTATTCTGTTTTTTTTTGGAAAGTAATAACTTTCTAGGGGAATATATAAATATTAAGATAGCTTCAAATGGTGGGTTGCTTTTCTTATTGCCAGAGAAAGAGGTACAGAGAGTGTTAATGATAATCATGTTGATTACATTTTTAATTTATTTAATTTATTGCTTATTTACTGTCATGTGATGTTTCAACTAAATTAGAAAGAGTAAAAGGTGGAGGCAATTAAGTCTTTGTATGATTTGTTGATATTATGACATTATTTTGCTGACACTGAGGGGTTATAGGATGAATAAAACTCTGTAATACATCTACTTACATAGAGAATTAAATTATATTTCAAAAATTAAAGAAAATAATTTCGTTTCTGAGTCTATTCTCAAATATGCTCTGTCAAAGATATTTGAACATAGCCTCACAGTTTTTAGGGTGTTAAAGAATACTTCATTAAATTATGTAAATATAATAGTACAGTAATAATAGCTGTCGCCTGTGGCCTATACTATAGACTATTAATTATATTCATATCTACTATATTGGTGGGTGGAGCCTATAGACTCTATAGTCTGACCTGACCCTATAGACTCGGGGATAATGTAGCTACATTCGTGAAAGAATTTCCAGAATTGGTTCAGTAGATTAAAAAGTTACCCCCTACATACTACTATTTTACCTCTTTATTATAATAGTATAGAAGTATATTTAAAGATAGAACTTACCTCAATAGCTGATACTGATAGTCCGCAGTGGATCTAAACTCACCAATAGGACGAGCAACAACTCCTGGGAACTCAGTGTCCATTGCAACCCAGTGGTATTTCTGTACAACCTGTAAAATACAATATTCAGGTAAACTAATATACAAGTTAATGACTCTTGTTTGTATCCTACAAATGCACTTAATGATGGAAAAAAATTAGACGTAATCAATTTTTTACACCCACACACATAAATACTATGTTGTGTAAGTGTTAACATGTTTATTGATTTGGTCTCTAATTAATTATTAGATTCTTGATGATTCTTGACACTACAAAAAATCATTGATGAATTCAAAAAGTAAGTATTAAATTAATGCTATTTAGTAGTAGTAAAAACATTTATACTTTTCATCATAACTGCATTTATTACATACTACATGTTTTTTACATACAGTAACATAATGGTGCTAATGATATAAGGTATACCTTATCTTATTAGTACCATATAGTATAAAGTAAAAAGGCACTAATTAGTGGAATAAAACATGAGTTTAATTTAAGGTTGATATACTTAGTCAAAACCTACTTTCTAAGAAGAGGCCTATGTCCAGCAGTGGACTATTAAAGGCTGTTGATGTGATGTGTGATGTGATACTTAGTCAGCAATTGTTAAAAGGTATAGGCCATGTGATATTCTTAACAAATTAAATTATTTTGAAGTTACCTGTCTTATTATTTGGAATTCTTCATGTAAATTACGATTCCAAACATCTTTTATTCCACAGTCACTATTTCCTGGAAGCTGAGACAATGACCCGAAGCTAGCAGCTGGCATCTACAAACCATTACAGTATGGTACAGAGCAGAAATAAGGATCATTTCAATTTATTGTGGTATTGTTACTTTAACATGAACCATGTTAAAGTAACTCAAATAAAAATCTACTTAGTGGTCAAGTCAGTAGTGCACATTAACATTTTATAATAACTATATTAATAGGTGTTTGATAATACAAATGATTTTGGATAGTTTGTTTCATATGTAGGTTGTTTGTGGATTGGATTATTTCTTCACAACACTGCTTGTTAAAATGTTAATACAGGTATAAAAGAAGCTGCTTGTACCAGCAAAGTTGAAGATAATGTTTGAGAATATACCAAGTTTATTAAGAATGAAACATAAAGTAAGATTAATCACAGACTTCCTTTATAGCAATAAATGGTCGTGAGTTGTAGTTAAGTTCTTCATGACGCCACGTTTCCAGATTTTTTTAAATTTTGCAATAACAACAGTTCAGCATTTTAGAATTTCAAAGTAGTTTCAATTCGATATATAACACACCTTGTATCGGTTATCTGCCTCCAAGTGGGAAGATTCTACAGTTTTCTTTGACGCCGTGGTTTACGGATTGTTTAGAACTTCGTTTTATATACAATTGCTTGTTGATTTTCATAGGTTACGCTTTGATTTCACAGGGCATTTCAAAGCCTCTATACGTAAAATGTCAGTGAAGCAGCAGGCAATATCCAATTACGTTTTGAATTTTACCTTGCTCCAATGTAGTATTTGTTATTGAATGCTGAAGTCTATGAACCTAGGGAAACAAAAAATATATGAAATTTTTGGTGAAATAAAACCTTGCAAAGCGACGCAATCCATTTTTTTTAGTGTGACATTGACACAGACTAAGATTGACTTAGAATTCTTGTGTGGGAATGAGTCTTTTTGCTTTGATTTTTTTTCTTGTAATACAGATTTCCACAGAAAGTGTTTATGTAAATAACAGTAATAATGCATTTACTGTAATTTAAAATTATAATAATAAACTACAAACTTTTTGACACAATTTCTTGGTTATTACTGACCACGACGGAGTATTTTGGACTTGTCGTACGTGTTTTACATGTAGGCTCGCAAGAGTAAAAAAGACAGGACATAAATTACATGTTGCAAAAACATCTAACCTTTTAAATTATCTAAATGGCTATTATTTTATTTAAAAAATCATTTTTCTTATCCAATTAACCTCCTTCCTTTATATCAATTAAAATGTTTTTGGCGGAATTTAAAACTGCCCAATTACTGCCAATTTTAGAAAATTAGGTAAGTACAGTGAAACGAAATAGTTGTTAAGAGCTGAAGCTTAACTACAAGGATTGGATAATTTAATGTAGTGACTATTGCTTACACTCCCAAGTCCTAAAATAAGTATTTTGCTTAACCTCAATTTAACCTAAAACTGCCTAAAAATAATATCAACAGTAGAAATACAAAGCGAGTTATGTGCGATTCTCCTGGATACATTTAACACATGTCTATAGTAAAGTTGAAAACATTTTTTATTACCTCATCATCATTCACCAACAGCCTTTAACAGTCCACTGTTGGAACAAAAATTCATTTTCATTTAGAAAAGAAATTACCCTATTAATCCGTCCAATGGATGTACCATTGGACGGATTGGGTAGTGGTTTAAGCGTCTACCTTGCTGCTTCCTACAGCGCTGACAGTTGTGTTGTGGGTTCGATACCCGCATGGGATATAGCTTTGTGTAATCCACAAATTGTTGTTCTGAGTCTCGGTGTTCTTTGTGCCCTTTTCATGTATGTTTGTAAAGTACACCTGGACACAGGATATATTCCAAGTACGGGAATGTGCTATCTTTTTAAAAAACTCAAAATGAATTAGTTTGTGAAGGTACTTTAAATCATCGTAAGTAACAATTTAGATCACATTAGAACACATTTCACTATCCAAATTACCTAGAGGAAGTTCTCAGTAAGTTACAAACCTTTTTTTGTATGTTGCCTGATACTCAATAGGACTGACTGGAACGACTTAAAAATTTTCTTTTTGGTTAAACTTTATAATACACACACCGATACAACGGTACAATTATAATACAGTAGTGTAACTCGGCCGCATGATAGAAATAGATGCCTACAGCCGCGCGGTACGTAAACATGCGTTAGGTTAGCTGCCCGTCTCCAGCATTTTAATTATATTTGCCTACTTTCTGTTTCTATTTAGATTTGTGATTGTAAATATCCTTTTTATATAAATAAATGAAATACTTTGTATATTGAATAGGAAGTGTTCAATAAAAATGCGTGTTGTTTTTTGATTGGTAGATTTGATTATTTTATTTTCTTTCTGCATTGGAGGAGTTCAAGTTTCAATTTTCTTTTTCTTGGAGTGTTGCTAGAGAGACTCGTTGAGGTTTGAGCAAAGATTTCATTTGTTGCATTTTCAGTCTGTATGCTATTTTAATTTCCTACCAACGGAGCAGTTTGGTTTTGTTTATCTTCTTTTAGAGAGACTCCAGACTAGCTAAGCTTGGCAGCATCAACAATGGTAGGGCATTCTTTTTTAAAAGTTTTCTATTTGATGAATGTAATACATCCTCCAAATTAAAATGTTTTTCACAAACTTGGTAGGAACTAGAGTTAGGTTTGTTTTCCAAATCATCTCGCCGGATCAGTTGCAACCATTGAAGACGTCTGAAAAAAAAATACATGTGGCACTCTCAGAGACTGCCGCGGTAAAGCTATTGCATAACTTTTTTTTTTAAAGAAATAAATCTGCGTGGTGTCAGATATTTTTCGTTAGGTTTTGAGAATTTCTTGATTTGGTCACCGTGCCCCGCCGCGCTCAGAGCAAGCTATGCTATAGCTTAAAAATCAAATAAAAAAAGTTGTTATAGTAGCAGCAGAAACACTTTGTGAAAATTTCAAAAACTATTTAATGACACACAGACGGTAAAATTTTTTTCTAGTATTATTCATACACACGGATAATAAACAAATATTATTAATAATAAAATACCACAATCATGATTCATTCAGAACCGCATATAACTACCTATTTCACTCGTCTCAATAACTTTCCGTTACTCTATTCGCCTTATTTATTAATCCAAATACCTTTTTTTTTCGTGAGATAAAAGGAAATACTTATTCATTAAAAAGACATACATTATGTACCTACCTACTAGTAAGTAAAATTATTTTATAGTCTTACTTTTCAGAGTTTCCAGGTAATTAAAAAAACTTATGTCTGGATGCGTTATTGACGAATTCATACAACCAAAAACAGCACAATATTTCCTACTCGTCATATTAACTGATTTTTAGAGAAAAAATCGCGCGGTTATTGTTAAAAAAAACAACACACCGTCCGTTCGACACTGTGGTACAGCCGTGACTGTCTGCGCCCCGAGCGCACCCCGAGATCGAGGCGCGTAGGTATAGCTCGCGTTTCGTCCGTTTGTATGAAGTTGGAGTACTGTATTATAATTGTACCGTGCCGATACATCCCAAAAAAAGAAAGAAAAAATAAGCAAAAAAAAAATTGTCATAAGCAACTTACACAAAGAAGTTAAATCCACCAAAACCTTTTTATATAAAATATTGCCAAGACGAGACCATTGTAGCTTGCACTGTCATAAAGTCATCAGATCTCTACACGACTTAACTCTACAAGCCCTAACTGCATAAACTCTTCATCCTAGTCAACATATGTGGCTTGGCCGTTTCGGTACCGTCACATGGGCTTAAGCTGAAACATTAATTCACTGTTCATTACAGAACATATATGAACAACATACTCATACATTGCTACTATTCTATTGGTACCAACCTGTATGTAAATTATTTTGGGAATTAACTACAACTACCTAAATATTTCTTACGTCACTATTTACTGCCCTAATCAATCACGAATATTCATTAATTTATATCTATTCGCAGAACTAAAGATTTATTTTATTCAATAAATAATTAAGCGAGCTTTAATAAGGATTTCTAATCTTAATGGATTCTGGTGAATTGTAACGTTTAATTATAATTAAATGAAAAAATAAAAATAAATTTACCTGATAGTGATAGTGTAAAGACGCAAAGATTTAAACGAAATTAAAGCACGTAAAGAATAAGTTTTTAAAGTGCATTATTCGTTTAGACCGGGTTTAATCGGTAACTAGTTTTTCTCAGTGAAATTGCCGATAAAGTACAAATCTTTAAGTGATTACAACCCTCTACTCCCCGCCTCTTTATTTTGATACTTTGAAGGAGTTCTTTAGGAGTAATTGTTACCTTTTGAGTACTAGTAATTCTTTGTAAGTGAAAAACTAATATTCATAACGATCTACTATTGTAAAAAAAGAAACTACTATTGTTGTGACTGAAGATTGTTGCTCTAACGCTAACACCGTTGAAAGAATTGCAAATATTAATATGTTTATATCTGCAGATACTTGATGTGTCTAGATTGACTGAAAGCGCTGAAAATGTAGTGGTTGGTTCGACTCCGGCAGACCAGTCGATGACGAGCTCTCGCAAGGGCTAGTCGTTTTCAACGCGTCTTGTCAGATCGCGCCGGTAGTAGGCACCCGTCAAGTTTGCATTCACGTACATCGGAACTTTAAATGACGACGTGAAATTATTTTGTAAACATTTCGATTGTTACACCGGTAGTTTATTTTATTTCAGAATCAGGTTTATCTACAACTATAAGGAGGTAAGGTTCAACTATATATATATAGACAATTATTATTGTTAATTTAAAATAACGTAGTAATACTTGGTAAAACATTTTAAAACTAAATTTATAGTAGTAGTAAGGTGACTAAACCATTTAATATACAAGCAAACTGTGTCAAGCTCATGTTCAAATCTGACATTACTAATTTAAATGATTAAGTGTTCCTTTATTTGTATGCTTTAGTGAAAAACCTATCCTAGGGCTAAACATATCCTAGGGCTAAAGTATATTAACAATTATAAACTGTCGACGTGACTTTGTATACGTAAACATCCCGTGAAGCCATATAAAACAGTTACTTGCAAGATTGAAACGTCGCAACTAGAGACTATATAAGCATACCTATAAGAGTTTCAGATTTACTAATATGTTTTAACATAATTTAGAATATGTTATTTTTATATCACTGCTTTTTAACATCATAATCTATTGTTTTTTTAAAAATGTTAAGTTGGTTTGTATAGCCTACAAAAACTCAAAAAAATCTGCATCTTCTGACACTCAATGCAGATCAATTTTGACACGATATACAACCTACTTTAACAATTGTTTTATATATTTTTCATAACTAGTTGATAATAAAATTATTATTTTTATTTTATTATTACTAGATGTGATGACTTAAAACTAAAAACGGCTGCCTGAAAACAAAACAAATATTGGTTAAAATGTTAAGGTTTAGTTTTATCGTAGATAAATCGTTTCGTTTTTTTTTTAACCTTCAAGTAATTCGAAGCAAATAAAAGTATTGTACGTAGAGCCTCTTAATCGTATTTCAGTCCCAATAATTTTAAAATTGAATTTGATCAATCCCCCGAAATTTACGGAATAAAAAACTGTTTTTTTGGTTATGTAGAATTGATTTGAAGCAACTTAGAATTGTGCCCATAATTTAAAACAAACAAGTTACAGTTTAATGACGATTTCTTCCACTTCGATAGAGCAGGACGCGTTTGAGTTGATATTTCGTCTAAGTCTGACGACACTAATGCTGCAGGCGACAATTTTTTCATAATACACAGATTGGTTGTGCAAGATAAAATCCAAATGATGGTATTTTGAAATGATGTCTAAACAATTGCTTAGAGGACTCCCCATGATACAAACCATAGAAAATG